AGAAGGAGTTGTTCCTTGCGAGCTTTCACATATGGTGCGGTCTAGAAAATGGATCTATGTGATCAAAATTCCTAATGGTTAATTTATTAAGGACAAATTTTCCTCATAAAATATTAAAAATTATACCCGAAATTCTGAAAATGGGAAGTAGTCGAAAAAGTGGTCTGATCCGAACAATTTGCAATAAAGGTGGACATTGAGCTAAACCACGTCAGTGTAAATTGCAACCTGACATACGGACGGACGGGCTTAGAGTTATCGTTTGAGGTGTGAAGTTGAAGCACATATTCATCAGAATCATTTTCTGAGTCTGTTAATATAATAAAAGGTGAGTATATCTCAAGTCCTTTTGGTTGCTATAAACGTCCGCATAAGCTTAAGACACCTTGCGCCACATGCCTTGCGGTGTAGGTGTTGGGTGTAAAAAGAGAAGAAGAAAGAGCAGGTCGTAGCTAATGAGTCAGTGAGGCAAACCTCCATGTTTCGTTATTGTATGTACGAATGGACGTACGGACAATAATGTAAATATAGTATATGCATGTCTGTACGTATGACTACTGCACCAATTACAATTGCTTGTATAACCACACTCGGTCTCCGTCTCCGTCTCCGTTTTCGTGTCATGGTTAGACTCGATTGTGAAATGTAAAGGCTTAAGATACAAAATAGCAAAGCAACAATACCCTGTTGGTGATTACGATGATCATGATTAAGTAATAATAATAAATTTAAATTACAAATAATTCTTAAAAATAAATGGTTCTCTATGAACTCTCTTACCAATACAAATACATAGTCTTTCATTTTTTTTTTTTTTTTTTTTGTTGTCCAACCGTCAATGGGTTAACTACAAAAGGAGGGAAAGAGAAAAGAAAAAAACCAAACAAAATTAAAATATAAATAAGGAAATGTTATTAAATTATAATTTATAGAGAAATTAAGTTTATCTGAATTATATTTATTTATTTATTTATTTATTTATTTGTTTTTTTTTTTGTATATATTTAAAGTCTCTATGCATAGGCAAAACGTACATGTGTCAAACAACTAGTCAGCAATAGTGAAACCTTTCAATTTTCAGTTTAAACTTATTCAGAAGATATACATACTTAAGAGCGAATAAAATCGCTACTCGTACGGCTTATAATTTATTTTGACTTGGCACGACATTGATATTTAAATTTGTGCAAAAAAGATAAAATATCCATCAAAATATTTAAGCAAATATTATCGGTAATCGTCTGGACAAGGAAGATAACTGCACTTAATACCCATAACAGCCATTGGCATACAACAGCACAACGACATAGTTAAACGCTTATCATAGATGTGAAAAAGAAGCAAGAGGCAAAAAGACAAAAAAAAAAAATAAATAAATAAATAAAAGTAATAATAATAATGAATAAAAATACAAAAAAAAAAGGTAAACAAAATGCCATTAAATCTGGTCGGCTAGTTAGTTATGTAGTTTTTTTGTGGTTAATTTGTTATGTTTGTAGAACCAGTGTAGTAACTGCAACTGAGATCAGGTGGCAAGCAGGCAGGCCACCTGAAATCTGAAATTAATGTTTCTAACCATACGAACGCGCATACAAACATATATATGTACATATATATAAATCAAAGATTAGTGGTTTCTTAACTCGATTTTAATAGAGCTTCAAGTGTATGCTTTATATGAACGCATGATATAATTTAAAATTGTCAGATACAGTGGTGCGGTACGGGAGGTTAATAATAAAAAAATGTAACAAATCAATTGAATTATTGCCATTTACAGGTTATATGTCACAAAAACAACTTTAATATCCGGTGTATGTTTTAGTTTATGCGTCTGCATATGCGTCTGCATATGCGTATGCATATATAAATGTGTATGTGTTTTCTTTTTTTTAATGCAAACACACACACACACACACACACACATACATACATACATACATGCATACACACATATACACACACACATACTTATTTAGGCATGAATTCAAGCTTGACGTTGTTAATGTTGCTTGTTAATCAACCAAGAGCTGAAAACTAGAAGTAACCATTTAAGCAGCCAGAGTCAGTTAGACAGTTGATGTTATGAATATCTTAAAAACATATATATATTTATATATATATATTTATATATATATATATGCATATATATGCATGATTTACGCACTTAAGTGTGCGCATATCTACTATTTTTCTGTCTTTTGATGTCACTGTACTTAAAAAAAAAAAAAAAAAACAAAAACAAAAGAAAACCAAAACTAACAGCAACAACAACAACAACAAAAACGACAACTTAGTGTGATATTCCATTCACCGATAGCTTAGCTAAGTAGGTATTATAAGTGTAACACGGTCCACGTTAATAATAAAACAAAAATAAACAAACAAACAGACTGACGGACGGACATATAGACAAGCCAACATGACATGTAAATCTGTCTCGTTTATTTAACACACTATGCTCGTCAGTTTTATTTACTACCAAAATAGGATTTAAATAACCATTTTCCTTATGCACACATACATCCATGAATCCAAAGTGGCAATGCAATGTGTAAGCTTTACATTGTAAGACATTTTCTTTTTTTTTTTCTTATTTCCTTTTCTTATTAATTCCCTCAAATGCAAATATGGTCTTAGACGCAGACATGTCACTCAAGTAACGTCTAAATTTCAGTTTAGTTTCTTTTCGAAATTTACATACGCATATAAAAAGTTGTTTTCCATTTTTTAACTTTTATTTTCATTTCATAGTCTTATCCATATTGATGTTGATGTTTTTGCTATTATAGTTGTTGTTTGCAACATTTCAAAAATATTCAGTTCACATATGATAATCGTTTGACAATTGATTGAAATGAAATTATAATTGACAGGATGATTTGTTGTTATATTTTATGTTAAAACAAAAAAAAAAAAAAAACAAAAAACAAAAAAAAAAACGTTAATTAACGTAAAAAATAGTCTTGACCAGCTCTCCTCCATTTCCACAACTCCCTCTCCGCCGCCGGGCCATCATTTCTTTTCACCGGTGCCTATCCGGATAAATGAAAGTTTTAATGCAACTTTTTCAATAAATGATGTCTAGTGGAAACTTAAGCTTTCATAAAAAGCTTTTTTTTGCACCCACAAATATTTTCCCCATCCCTAGAGTTCATCGCTAGTAAAAGTTTTAATAAAAAACTTTGATGAAAAACTCGAAAAAAAAAAAAAAAATTTGACAAAAAGTCCTTTATTTTATTTCCTAGAAATTTTTCATAGAAAACCAGTCTCGAATGTCAACTTTTATGTCATCGACACTTTGAAAGGGACTTTAATTAGCCGGATATCTTGAATACTGCTCGACCGGTTTTTCCGTCCATACTTCGAACTTTAACGATTGCAGCTGCTTTCTATAGTTCTAAGCTTTGTATCTAGCACTGCTAGCTTGAAGGCTAAACGCTCCTTTTTGGCGTGCAAGCGTCTTAAGACCAAGTAACAGAAGGTTTCAAAAGAATACAAAGTTCTCTTTTTTTTTTTTTAGCTGAACTCTACCACGTGTTTAAGAAATTCCATCTCCTAACAAGGACGTAACCTGAGTTAATAAGTCAGAAGATATCGATTTTTGTAGTATATTTGAAGCCTCTTAACATATATATATATATATATATGTATATACATTTATATACGTATATATATATATGTGTTAGTCTTAAGACGTAAACGTTTCTTACGGTTTGGCACATAGCGAAACTCATAGAAAAAGAAACCTAATGCTTGTGATCAAGGCATCGCGTAAAGTACCATCAGGTGGACTATAAGACCCGCCTTTTTCCATAGAAAAATGAACTTGAATTTTGGTCGCGTTTTATGGTCCGAAGGCAACATTAAATTATTTTTTCAATAAATCGTCTATAAATTTAAGGTACGTGAGTGAGGTACAACAACAACAGTTCAAATGAAAGTAATATGAACGGTGAGGTTAACGAGACGAATGATTGTACCGAGAGTGAAGATGAGATGAATATCGCTAGTACGAGTTATGTTAGCAATAAATAAGAGCTTTCTTGCGAAAGTTAAAATATTAAAACATATTTTGCTTAAAATCGTCTTATAAATTCGAAGTGCGTCTTATAGTGGTATATATGTTCGCTAAACGAGAACTGCTCTCTCGTAAACAAATTGACGCAGAGAATTTGAGTAATCTCTTTTGTAAAGATAATCAATTAATAAAATTCCTTTTGCATCTCTGACGAAAAAGAAAAACATTCACTCTGCACCCTGTGTTGTTTATTGTCTCAATGCAACAAGATCAACAAAATCGTAAACACAAGTCTCATGAACAGTTTTATTGTCATCTCTTTAAGAGATTTGATCTCTTAGAAAGGACTTCTGTTTTATGAGAGCCTTTTTAATATCTTGTTGCTTAGTTAAGATCTATCTATCTCTATGGTGGTAGTTTACAAACAAAATCACTCAAATTTAAGGAACGAAATTTCTTGTATAACATGTGCACGTTTTCGCTTTTACACAACTCACTTATCGTACAAATTCTATTAATTAACGTTCGTGAATAATTGCTTTATTTCGTTTCAAGGAACTTTCGAGGCAAACAAACAGTAATCGTAAATGCACTTATACTTGGCTGCACGTAAAATGCTCAATATATTTTTATTCGTCGTCTCTCGTTTATCAACGCATGTGCGAAAAAAGCAAGAAAGTTAAATTTTAATTATTATTATAGTAGAGTAAATGTACGCATATAGCCGTATATATCTATCTGTCTATCTATATATTAAATCTGAAGAATTCGGTAAAGTTGAGCGAGAAATAAAAGGAGAGAATATCTCGTTAATTCATGCATACACACACAATTTATATGCCTCGCAACTATAGAGACTTTCGCGCTTACTCGTTCTCTTTCTCTTTATTTCGTTTTCGTTATACGTTATTCACGTACTAATGTTAATGATGGCAAAACGACGATAATCAACCACGAAAAAAATTTAGTTTAGCGAAAAATGTCAATCAATGTGGATGTGTTGCGCTTGATTGCCGAAGTAAAAAAGCGTCCAGCCTTATGGGATAACCGTTATGGCGAAAATAAAGGGCGTGTCAGTTTAAATCATCTTTGGTGGCAAGTCGCGCAAGTCTTGAATGTCGAAGGTTAGTGTATATAAATAAACTCATTGCAAATTTTCTTATATTACACGATTTATGTCCATTTGTGCTTTACGCTCATGTATGTATCTATACGTTATTGCAATGCTTTTCTCGTTTTACTTTTCTTCTTTAACATTTCTCGCTATGTACGCTTTTAAATGCTACAGTGGAACAATGCAAACGGAAATGGAAAAATTTACGTGACGCTTATCGCGCTGAAATACGACGAACAGTCCGCCGTAATGGAAACTATAAATGCAAGTGGATCTATTTTGAGCTGATGAGTTTCATCGATGGAAAACCGCGTCGACGCGATTCGAATGATCAATCATCTTTGCATTTAGAAAACAATAGCTCCTCGTTAGATAATAACGTTTATGATTCGGAGTTTCATAGCTTTTATGATATTAAAATGGAACCTCAACAAAATGTAGACGATAATATTGAATCCGTGCAGGTCGACGATGACGATACGGCTAATGATATACTTTTTGAAGAATTTCAAACTGTGGCAACACCGCAAGCTGCCCGTCGACTTTCGGCATCCATTTCACATAAAAATCCCTTGGAACGTAACGCACAAAATAATGTTTCAATTTCAGTCAACGAAGATCAGTGCAGATGTTCTGCGTCTGAACGTTCGCATAATCAAGTACATTTCTTGGAAAATCTTGAAAAAGAAGAACAAAAACTTATACAATCTACTCGTCAAGATATAACACGTGCGCAGGGCATTAGTCATGTGGGCGATGGCGATTACAATTTTCTCGTCAGCTTTCTACCCCAAATGAAAAAAATGAGCGAATATCAGAATTTACAATTTCGCGCCAAAATGTGCGAACTGGTCTTAAATATAATGACGCCAACGAATGCAGAGGTGAAAAAATCGGATAACAGTGGCAATACTGTTACTTCGTTTTACATAAAACAGGGCGAGAACCCTACTTCGACTTCATTTTTTAAATAATCATTAATCATACAATAATAAATATATCGTCTTATTGTCTTAGGTGAAAATGATTTTTTATTTTATCTAAATCGCGACAGCGTAGGTAGGTTTATCTATTATAAATAAATGAAAATCAATTTCTTAACACGATTTCTATTATATCATAGACATGAATGTATTTTTCGTTACAAAAAACTCTAAAGATAGTAAGGTATATATACCGAAAGAATTAAATAAAATAATGAGCTTAAAATGAAAAGTTTTGCTGAGCGAAAAAGCTTTTACTTCAAAATGTATGCATAGTATATGCGCCTCAATAGCAAGTTCTTTCATAGGGAGGCTTTCCTTGCTTTTGAGGCTATATTATTTTTATATTTGGCTCTAATTTTATGCAACATTGCAATTTGTGAAATATCGGGGGTCAGTTTCTGGATTTCTACAACTCGATTGCTATCGAATTAAGAAGAGCGTTTCAATCGAGGCATAAATAACGGAAAGATTATGATTCATTGAAATCATTGCGATAGCAAAGAAAAAGAAGAAGCAGGAAACGAACAACAACAAGTAAGCAAGAAAGTAAACCAAGTAAATAATATTTATTTAATCAATGGATAAATATACAGCAAGTAGGTACGTTTAAAAATGTTTAATTAATTTTTAATTTGCAAAAAATACAAAAGAAATCATTTAATGTCCCCCACATTCCGAAATTGTTGGCTATTAGTTAATTAACGCACGCACATATACATAGAATCAAACTTTTTTTTACACGGTGAATGCGTTTGTTGAAAAACTGGGGAAAAAACCGTGCAAAAAAAATCGCGTACAAAAAATAAATGCAAAATATGATGAATTTTGCGGATATGTTAAAAAATGGCGTAAAATGAAAAAATAAGAATTATTTTCCCAAAAAATTGTGCAAAAAAGTAAGTAATAATGGAATCCATTTTATTTATTTATAAAACAAAAACAATTCATTTCAATTGCAAAAACACAATGCAAATTATTGTAGGGTGAAAATTCATTCCATAAGCACAAGATATGGAAATTTAAATTGAAATTAGGAATATATATCGATTCCACAACTAGTCGTCGCTTCTCGAATACCAAGCGTGCACGTTTATTATGGGCTCAACAAAAAAATCGACCATCATATCTGAATAGGTCACATATGTATAGCACAATTGTCAGGTCTGACTGAAGAGAAGTACTTCATTTGTCCTGTTTAATGGTTTGTGTTTGTTTACTGTTTTTCTTTTTCTTTCCTAATTATTATAAAGTCTGCTTGGTTTTATGTTTTCTCAAGTAGCTTATAACATTCTTCACATTCAACTGCACGAAACTAAAGGTTACGTTGCAATTTTAATGCTCGCTCCATGTCAGGATCATGAGTAAAGATGTGTTGCTCCATACCTATAGCAAATTTTAATTTCACCATTGACTTCATCACTATCGGATTGAAAACAACCTTAGTTTGAACATCAACTTTTAAAACTTTATTGAAATTATTTATTGCATCCTACGAACTCAACGCTCTAGATCACAATAAATACTGTGTACCAAAATGATGTCTTCAAGTTGCAGTGCAACGAGATAATGAGTAATGTGATCAAAAAAAAAAAATCGTGTATGCCCCGTAGTGAAGCAAAAATTAGAATTAAAAATATTTTTTGCTTGGAAATCGGGCTACAACGAAAAATTCGTATAAAAAAATATAATTTTTCTTCTTGGAGTTATTTTTAAATCGGTTAAAAAAAACCGTGTAAAAAAGAGTTCCGTATATGTCGCAATATATAAAAACCGAAAGGTATATAACGTTCATAATGCATTTGTGCAGATAATTTAGATTAGCCTTTGGAGCCGTGGTGCCTTATACATTATACATATAAAATCGGTGGATCGAAGAAGACCATATGTAAGACAGGTACAGAGTATCGACTGAGCCTGGTCGTGCGATCAGCCCGACCGGTAAGTAAATTTCGTCCATCCTTATTATGGACTTATCACGTGTATTTTTTTAATGTAACCGTCTATGAAGTGTCTATGGGATAAAGAGTGAAACCGGCCCTTACTGTAGAACAAGCTAGAGAGAAAGAGAGAGAGAAAGAGAGAGAGAAACCTTTTTAAAAATGATTGAAGAAAAAACTAAAAACCTAATTAAAGGAATTTTAATAAATTAGAATGAATCCTTGAAGAATGCTTGCTTAGTCAAAATTTCTACGTCTTCTTTCTTAATCTTTCCTAAGCAATTTATTTTTTTTTTTCAATTATCTTTTGCGAAGATCTTTTGATTTTATGGCACCAGTAGATAAAAGCATCGGAAATAATTATTTGCTTTTCTTTTTGAGAATTTCCGTACTTAATGAGATTAGATATTGATAGTAACTATTAATTAATGTTATCGTCATGTATGTGCGTTTGGTAACAATATTTTACCTCTTTTTCCTTTTGCTTGATAGTACAAAAAATATGTACCTTTTATCGACTCACTATTCGATGCATCGACAGAAGCGAAACGGAAAAATTACAATCGAAAACCACAAACCGCCCTGAATTTTATATCATGAATACAATTCGATGTCTTTATGTCGCCTGTACTTATATTTATATCCAACAGTTTGTTCTAATTATAATTTTTAGCTTCAAATACTTTGGAAAACTGCCCTGTCACTAACAGGGAAACAAACGACTTCAATAAAAAACACCATTGAAACGATACACAAGTTTATTATTATTATTAGCACATAAGACAGTGCTTTCTGAAAAATTAGTACTGAAAGACCATTATCCTTGATATATGACTCCAAGGTGTATGGATTACTTTCGTAAAATCGTTTGACATCAATGATCTTCGGTTCGACTTTCTTTGCCACATGCACCGCTTTCAGTACACGCTGAAACTTATTTGTATACCAAGTTCAAATTTTAGAATAAAACATTGAAAAAAAAAAAAATATATATATATAAATAAATATTTTATGCGACGTAATGATGTTTACAAAACTGTCCGATATATGTCCCGAGTATCGTCTCCGTGGAAATTAATTCTCAATGAACAATTCATTCGTTAGTTAGCTCCTTCCTTCCCAGTGTAAATATAAAAAATATATATTTTCTCTCATAAGCACATTGGAGTTCGTGTAACAAAAACGGTATATATGGCATACAATAGCTTACTCGTAAGCAACTTGGCCGGTAAAAGTGGAATATTTGTTTCAGAATTAACGAATTTTTAGTGTGGTCGTGGACGGTTTGTTCCATTTTTTGCGCATGAATATCAGATCCTCTACAAACACGCGATTAGTTGATACTTTGCTGTGGGCGTATGTCTTGACCAATTTAGTCCAAATGTTCTGCCAAAATTGATATCGAGTTTAGAATTTGATGCTGATCAAGAATAACTATACTTTATGGTGTTGCAAACGGATATTTCCCATGAAAGGCCCCATAAAATGTATAAATTATTTTCCAGTTACAGATTTCAAATACACTTAAGCATGTCCGTCTGTTTAACTCTCTGTCCACTTGTCCGCCTGTGGTAAACATTGTCCCATTCGCAGAAATGAAAATATCACCTATTAGCTTTTGCTAAGACCCCGCCTTCAACGCCCACATGTCTATTCAACAAAACCTTTACTGTCCGCGTTTTTCGCTCGTTGGTCAAAACCTATACCAGATACAGATTATAAATTTCCACAAAATTATTCTACAAAAATACAAAAAAATCAGCCACGCCCATTCAATATTATTTAGCGTGCACATTTATACTTTTGCTGTTCTCCAATCGTTTATAGGATAAAGGTAATGGTTACATATATTATTCCATCGCGACCAAACATAATTTCCTTACCTACTTAATTTATTGCGGATCTATGTTATGATGAGTAATTAAGGGTATATTGGGAAACATTAAAAATGGAATAAGGAAATTTGTGAATAAAACCCAGTGCAAGGCATAAAAATTGCATGGAAAAATAAGCCAACTCAGCGATGAAAAGGCTGAACGGAGTCCATTTGAATATGATGATGAAGGATCATACGATGAAAAGCCTACATAGTGTCTGTTAGTGAGCGTGTATGAATACTCTTTCGGTTGTTTGATTGACTAAACAAACGGACCATATCATCTCAGTTTCCTACTCTCTATTGCTACCAATGCTGCTGATGTGCTTTTCACTACAACTCTTGTTACGTAAGTTAATAGTCATTGCAGCCGCAACGAATTGAGACAAATGTTCAACTGAAAATCATGCATTTTCACCGATTCTCTAACTAAACATTCTTCGGCTTAAAAGGAGTCCTTTGTGTTCTTTTTTTCTTTAAAACCTCGTAAGATTTCTTTTAAAAATTCTGTATTCGAATAAAACTTATTTCAAGAAATTTGTTGAAACTTACAAGTAACTGAAAAGTAATATATTTTGATAACCTATGCCGTTTGTGGTAAAAGGGTGTGTTAAGATTGTGCGGATGTATGGAAGACAGAGAAAGACTTGCCATAGACCCACCTTTCATTATACCGAAATGGTTGTCTTTCCATCGGTCTGACTTCTGCTCTTCCATTCAAACTACAGGCAGCAAGTTTTGATGAAATTTCGTACGCAGGCGAGATATAAACAATTGTGGAGTGGTGTAGGGTATCCAATGGTGAGCCCTGGCCCACTATACTGCCTTTATTTGTTTGTATGCAAGATTTCGTTGGAATTTAATGCGTTATTTTAGAGGCTTCTGATTTTGGGACAAATTTTTCTACAGAATGTTAAAAAAAGAATATATGGAGGCCAAGCGTTCTTTTAAAAAAATAAATAAAATTAATTCCTTTTTTTTCTGCTGTTGTTTTATTTTTTTCAAGAAACTCTTACAACCAATTAAACGTTGCAAGAGATAGCAATAAAGAGTACAACATAAAATACGTGAACGTGACTTAAGTAAAAGAAAAAAAAAAAAAAAGAGAAGAAAAATTTATACTTTCAACGGTTTTAACTGATCTTCACTGGCAGTTGTTTGTAAAATGAATTTTAATTGATTTCGTTATGCACGTGCAAAGTGCAAGACTT